AGTGACCTTCTGCTGCCCATATTTTGCCATACTTAAGCCAAACACAGGTAGGGATTCTCAGTTTGCTTATGGACTTTCTATAGTGGAAAGCATGCTCACTTGGTTGATTCATAATGATATATTTCACATTAGTTCTAAGTCTGTGTCCCAATGTACTTTCCTACAATTCATTACAGTCAAGTGTCTTATTGCAACTTAGGGTTTGGTTTGGAGTGATTCTTAGATCATGACCTAGCGCATGATACAACAGCTGAGGTTCAATTGTGATAGTTTGAGACTAACTTTTACAGTCGTTTGCACAGACAGTTAAAACAGAATATTAGATATAAACAGTGTATGACTGTCAATCTATGAAATGCCAGTCATGATGCAGTGTTGATTTTTATGTCCACACTGTTTATATGCTCTATCTATTGAGCATTTATCTTACATAAATATAGAAAGTGATTTTATATATATGTTGTAGCATACCTATGAACAATAATGGGTATTTCCCCATTCACAGAAATACAATAGTAAAAACTGTAAGTTGATTTGCAGTTAGAGAGTCATTGTGGAATTCACTTGACTCACTTCTAGCAGTTGACTACTACTTCTACACACCACTAGCAAATCTAATATGTGTTGTTCTTTTCCTAAGTATTATGGTTCATTATCAACCTTTGTGTGATTATTCTATTCCGTAACCTAGGTTACAACAATAAGCATGGAAGATTGAAGAATTGGAGTACCAAGTTCAAATTCAAGTAGAGTTCATTACATTCATTTAAAGAAAGATAGGAGTGCATCTCTTCTTTCTCCAGTGATGAGCGAATAGCAGGACAGACTGGGTCCTATAGATTTGGGTGGCAACCAGTCTAGGAGAAGGACAACTGCTAATTCAAAACCTAAGGAATAATCTAGGCCTTCACAGCCATCTCTGCCACCAGAGAGGAGAAAGTGAATGATGGAAGAGGATAATGATCCCAATGCTTGGATGCAAGCTGGTGCTGACAAATAATTCATATATTTTCAGTAAATCCTTTTTTTTTAAATATTATTTTATTTCCTACTGAGATTTTTAAAACAAAGAAATTCTAAAAATTTTAAAAATAAAAATAATGCATATATTAACTCAGTAAATAGAATCCCAAAAAGTGAATTTGAATGAAGATGATGTAGTGATATACTGAGCATAGTTTAGATGTGGCACAACATTGCAAGCATCGGGAATACAATAAGGATTGAACTCACTACTCAGAAGATATTCAAGATGATGTACATTCCTTTCATATTAACCATCTTGGAAAGGTATGAATATAACTTTTTCTTTTGTATTGTCTCTTTATAAAATTATATATATATATATATATATATATATATATATATATATGATAAGAAATATAATTTTAAGATATGCTATGTTTATGAGTAAAAACATTCAGTATCAGCAATAGAGCATATAATGATCAGAAGATTGCTCTGAAGCATGAAACAGACTGCTGCCACTTGGTGTCCACTACAGTGTTCATTATATATATATATATATATATATATATATATATATATATATATACACGTGTCTATGCGGCAGCCATTGGTCTCAAGGTCTTGGATCTGCAGCCAAAGAGTTATGTCTCAGCTGCTGATTGCAGTACAGCCTCTGTTACAGCTGCACAAGCCCACATGGAAGTGACAGTCTAAATTGCAATTAATGCAAGTGAAGACACTCTCCCCTTATATCAGCTTGTTGCTTTCTTTCCAATGAGCAGGCTTCATCTCGTTCTAAATCACATCTCCAGCAAGAGTGATCATTGACGGCATCTCACCTCTTGATGTCCATGTCCATTATGCACATGTCCCTTTGGCAGATGTCCTTGAAGTGAAGATGAGGTAGGCCTTGTGAGCCTCTTGCCAGTGGCCAGTTCCCTGTACACAAGGACCATTGGAATCCTGCCATCCAACATACATGTCCAAGCCAATGGAGCTGGCACTGATGGAGAAGGACATATAAGTTTGGTAACTGGGCATGAATGAAAACTATGGCACTGATTACCCAATCAGACCAATTGATGCCCAGAATGCAAAGATGAAAGGCGCTGAGACATCTCTCCTGTCTGGAGCAGAAGCTCCAAGCCTTGTTACCATAGAGCAGCACATTGATGATACATACACTATAGACTGCAATTTTGGTGCTTGTAAGATTTCTATTCTCCCAGATTCTCAAGGTCAGCCTAGCAAAAATTATGATATATGTGTATTTGGTTAAAAAGTAACTAAGCTTCTTTGTTAAAGATTCTTATTTATTTTTGTGCATTTCAAACCATTTTCATGGTTTCCAGTATATATGTAAATATAAACTGTTCAATACCCAAGAATTTTTGATTTTCATAAGGCCTTATCAAAGAGTTTTGTTTTTTTGAGCTAAGTCAGTTTCAAGATATTGCATCATAACATAAAAATAAATACTTCTTGATCATGGCTTATGCAGTCTGATATTAGATAATTTATATTTAAATATGAAATATGGAAAATGGTTTGAAATGCAGAAAAAATAAATTAAGAAATCCTTAAAAAGTTGTTTCAGAGACTGAAGAAAGTTCTATTAGAAATTGTTAATCCATATTGGAAGCAAAGAAATCACAAAAATATGCTTGTAAGAAAATAACATCAGATTCAAAAAAATGCAAACAATTTTGTTAACATTCTATCATTCATTTGTATATTTTTGAAAATATTTTTAGCTTTAAAAATATAAGTCATGTAACTTACTCAACTTGCACAAAGTCCTGAATACTGGTTGAAACACCAATGAGTTTGATGTTGTTCACAGTATAAGAGACATTGGTGATCACAACTTTTTTCTTGTACGTTTTACCAACATCTATATTCTGAAAACAAAAAAAAAACATTAAATAAATGTTAAGTCTTGAATATTGGTTGAAACACCAATGAGTTTGATGTTGTTTACAGTATAAGAGACATTGGTGATCACAACTTTTTTCTTGTATGTTTTACCAACACCTATATTCTGAAAGCAAAAAGAAAATATTAAATGTTAAAAGATAGCCATACTATTAAGAACTCAAGTATCAGAAAAGTGATTGGCCTTCAAATATAAATGTGGGTGTTTATACAAGCATACATATCAGGTGCTGCTCTAAAGTTTGAGAAACTCGCAGAGCTTGATTAATCTGATCATCTGTAAGCTTATCCTGCATTTCCCATGTATTACCAGATATTTCACACATCTTACAAACACATTTGACCAATAAAAGACAACATTCCTACTACTTGTTCTTTCTTTGGAAAGGCTATTCAGTCACAGCATGGCTCAATAATGTAAGACCTACTCAGGTTTGAATCATTATGAAAGTCACATTTTCATTATGAAAAAATAAAAAAATAACAAGTTGGCAGACAAAAATAATTATCTTTAATAAACAGATGTCTATTTAAACGTGTATCCACAAAATATAACATTTATAGTAATGAAAAGTAATGTTGAAGAAGTAAAAAAAAAAATTCATTAATTATATAAAAGCAATTAATTTTTTTTAATCTAACCTATAAACATTTAGTGGTTACACATTTGAATATTCAAGAATCTTATTAGAAAAAATATGCACTCTCCAGAGAGTGCATATATTTCTCTACTATGGTAGAAAAAATAAAAATACTGTTTAATAAATAAATGGAGCATCTACTCAAATACCAGTCTTCACTGTAAATAACATTTAAGTAATAAAATCTGTCAGATTAATAAATGAAAAATCCATCCATTTCTTTAGAATTGCTTTGTTTATGTTAGAATATGAAAGTGAGAACATGTATCCAGTTTTAGAAAAATCTGTATTTAAATTGGCCATTGATGCACTCCATGGCCAAGAAGGCTAAATCACATCAGATCTAATAAGTTTATCCTTGGAAAACGTAGGTTCAAGTCCAGCTGGAGAGCTTTAATATTTGCTCAATCAGAAAATTTTGCCTGTCTTTATGTATATTAACAATTTGAATCACGTTTCTAAATTTTCATTATTTTTCTTTGATTTACTACGTTAATTTAACTTACTTCCTAGTATTTTATTTCTGTTTTAAAATTTGTTAATGTTTATCATAATAGGTCTGTGTGTGTGTGTGTGTGTGTGTATATATATATATATATATATATATATATATATATATAGAGAGAGAGAGAGAGAGAGATAGATAGATAGATAGATAAATAAATATTATGTATTTAGGCAGAAATCCCTCTTTTATACATGTTTCATTAAAGATGACAGACAAGATACTGCGATTAAGCTTTTTATTTAATATTTCTTGTGTTTGAACAAGTGTTTTCTTTTTTTGGACACAGAGTGTTTAGAAACTGTCCAAATATTCCATAATTCCAAATGCTTTTGGCAATATTTTTAGCCATTATCAAGGATGATTTTATTTATTTAACTGGATGTATGAGTTGTGTGTATGTATCTAGAATTATAGGGATGTTTTATTTTTTGAACACAATCAGCACATTGTGGCCATGTTCTTAGTTAATATTATAGAGTTCTGGCTTTTTCTTATTGTTAAGGCTTCCATTATTTTAAATCTTTTTTTACATGTGAAATAGGTTAATCATGCTTGCATTTTCTGCTAGTATATTTCGTATGGAGTCTGGTAGGTTTGTGTGTGTGTTTAAAAGAGTTCTAATGAAGTTGTGGTCAGATAAGTGTAATGCAAGTCATCTGGATAGACATGTAGTAGTATAACTGATGTAATTTTTTATGAGTTTCATCAGAAATGCTTATATATATATATATATATATATATATATATATATATATATTGTTATGAATTTGCAACATATAAAGATATGAACCCCAGTATTAAAAGAAAAAGAAAAAAGGTGTGTTCAGTTAGATAACAAAACACAAACAGGTACTGGAGAACAACAAACACAAGATTAGCATTAGTAATTAAATTTTATATAGCACAATATAAAATAAGGGTACAATTAATAAAAGAACTTATATTGGATGTCAGTTCAAACATTTGTGTTTCAGGAATTTGGAGTTTGAATGTTTGTAATGACAAAGTTGGTGTAAAATGTTCACAAAAGTTGGTCATTCTTTCTTCCAGATTCCAGAATAATATTTGTGTTCTGTTTTTCCCTTGGTTACTTGGATTACAGCAGAGATGAAAATATGATCATTTCTTTGTATTTCCTTGGGTATGGATCTTCCTTTATCCTTTACCCAGTAAATAGTCAAACACATCCCACATCTCCAGGATGAAATTTTCTTATTCCTTACACAACAAGTAATGAAATAGTTTTTTTGTTTTTTTTTTTTGGTGGGGGTGTTTTTCATCCCTCATGATCGCATGATGTGAGTCTATTTTTTTTTCATGAAATGTTGTTGTTGTTGGAGGACATTGGGGAAACTAAAGTTACAATACCAAAATCCCACTTGGTGATGTATGCCACATGAGCATAAGTAACAGATTCTTACTTATTTTCTTCAGAGGTTATTTTGTTTATTGTCAAGCAACCCCAAATTCCTTTCCTGCCCTTTCTTAGTTGAAATAAGACTCAGTCCAGATAGGTAGTAAAACAAACCCACCTAAAAAAAAAAAAAAAGAAAAAAAAAGAAAAATAGCTATTTTCCTTTAGACATGGGTTATGGCAGATACAGGATAATGCATCAGTGCAGACACTGTCAACACCTTTATTATGGTGTATGTCAAGATTATATTTTTGCAATGCCAGACTCCAACATAATCTTCTATTTTTGTTTTTCCTCTTATGTAAAAAGGTCAGATAATTATGATCTGTCTAAATTCTAATAGGTTGGTGAGATGAAGACACATATAGCTTGAAATGTTGCAAACTTAATAATAGAGCTACAATTTCTTTCTCTACCATGGAATAATTTTTCTGATGGGTGTTAAATTTCCTTGATTGGTGTTTGATATTATCCTCGTCTATCTGTAATAGCACAGCGCCAATACCATAATCATTTGCACCAACAGCAAGGCTAGATGGTTGAGTAAATCTGGAACTTTGAGGACAGAATTCGAACATAATAAGGCATTGATTTGATCAAATGATTGTTGAGAGAAAAGAGACCAATCAAACAGAATTTTTCTTTAATAAGCACATAAGTGGTAAAGTTATGTCTGGGAAGTTTTTACAAAATTTATGGTAGTAACCCACCATGCCCAAAAATTTTTGCAATCTTAATTAAAAGAAAAAACTTGTAATTCCAATGAATGATTTCTTTTTTTTTCGGCTATCAGTTGCCAGTCTTGATAACTCTTTAATTTGAGTAAAACAGTACAAAGAAGTTCGAAACGCTTAAGAATTTAAATCAAGATAAACAAACCGAGTTGATGACATTTACAACATAATAGCAAGTCGAGTCAAGAAGAGGTCTAAACAAATGGTAATAGCAACTACAAAAATATCTGCAATAGGAGAGATGCAGCACAATACCATTCTGTTTGGACATCTTTGCTCCAAAGAAAAATATGATATGGAAAAAAAAAAAAAAAATTTAATGCCTTGACTTGCTATTACATTGTAAACATCAACTCTGTTTGTTTTCCTTGATTTAAATTCTTAAGCGTTTCAAACTTCTTTGTACTGTTTTACACAAATTAAGGAATGACCAAGACTGGCAACTGCTAGCCGAAATATTTTCATAAAAAAAAAGAAATCATTTGTTGGAATTACAAGTTTTTTTCTTTTAATTACAAGTTACTTTGGTCTGGCAAAATTCACTCTTTGACAGGTTTATAGTAAGATTAGCGTGTTTGAGTATTAAACAACTTCTACAAAGAGATCACATGATCTGCCCAGGTATCATTATACAGAATAATATCATCTATATAAGTGTCAACTCCGGGTAGATCTCCAAGACATTGATTCATCAATCTAACAAATGTAGCACGAGAATTCTTCATCCCATATGACAACACATGATATTAGTAAAGTCCATCGGGAGTCATGAATGCAGAAATTTCTTTCGCACATTCAGTCAAAGGTACACCCCAATATCCTTTCAATAAATCACATTTGGTAATATAAGTAGCTTTTCCTATCCTATCTATACAATCATCCACCCAGGGAATGGGATGTGAATCAGTCTTAGAAAGAGTGTTCACTTTACAATAGTCAGTGAAAAATCTAACAGACCCATCAGGTTTATCTGCAAGTACGCAGTGTGATGACCAATTGCTCTAATAAGGCTCAATGATGCCATTTTCCAACATGTAAGATACTTCCTTACATAAGATTTTGGACTTCTATGGATTAATCCAATCAAGGTACTGCTTTATTGATTGGCTTGTGTGGCAGTTCTTAATGAGTTGCACATTTTTTTTTCAAAATTTTTTGGCTTATTTTACCCAGTTCAGTTTTAGTTGGGTTTAAAAGGCGAAAAGAAGGGTTATTTGGGAATTCTTCCTTATGCTCCTTTATAGTTAGAAATGCTTGCTTACATCAAATTATGTGGACCCTGTCACTTATCCCTAGTCTGGGTGTGATATTTTTTGCCTCCTCGTTTATATTTTAATGTACAATTCTGATGCTTTTTTGTAAATTTTTGTTACATTTTCATTTATTTTTTTCCCTGTAAGCTTCTGGGTTCATGGTGTAAATATTTTTGGTTTTGTCACCTTTAATTAGAATATTTTTTATTCTTTTTACTTCTGCAGTTAATAGTTTTTTGGAAATTGCTATTAACTATACAAATTTGATGTCAATCAATGGAAGGACACAAGTGAGTGCATTTCTTATCCCCACAAGATCAACAATAAAAATAAATATGTATTTATAAAATATGACATTAAGGACTTTTACAAATCAATATCCCAAAAAGGCCTATGCAGGCTTTACAGTTCACCA